AAAATTTTCCAATTGTGGTTCCAAGTTAATGCTTGAAAATGTTTGGCGCATTCTGTTCTGTTTGGGTCAGCGTACTGACTAGATAAATTTGTTACAGCGCGTTTGGTTCGTTCGGGGCATTTTGTTGCAGGTGAATACGCACCTTAAAATGCAAGGGAATGGATTGATAATATGAATTTCCACTGCGGGGGCAGTAGAATTTACTTTTATATACAAAATAAATGTGACGGACCTTTCGATTCCTTTCAATGAACTTTAAATGTAAGTTTTCCGACACTTTTATGATCTGATTTCCAACTTGAATTATTTTTCGATATTCCAATTTGATTGTATTGCAGACGATAAAGCTGTCGTTCAAAAATTCTTTATGGAACTAACCTGGTTACCAAACCATTCTTGGGTAGCTGTCAGGATGAAGTACAATTCACTGGTTTGACTGGCATTCTCGATCCATTGGGAGGGATTTTCCGGCTGCAGTTTCCGGGAAAAACGCTGATTGATGAGTTGTTGAATTCGGCGGTTGTTTACATAGGTCAGTACACGAATTAAACTATTTACAAACGCAACTAGCCCGAATAATTACTAATTTTAGAAAGTCTGCCTTCAATATGACATTTGGTTGTGTGGAAGATCTTCTGCACAGACTTTAACACAGTGTTTAACTATTTGATTTAATGGCACAAAATGAAAACCCATTTGGTTTGGTATAAGCATTCAATTTTGTTCGTTGTACTTCAGTGAGACTCCTACGCGCGAAAATGTCTAACGGAATCTGCTGAAAATACTTTATTTTTTACTCAGACTTTTACACGATAATATTTAATTGTGCATCTGCACTAAAACGGCGGGCTTAAATATTTACTAGTCGGCACTCCGACGCACGGAATTTTTCTGTCTCGCACAAAACTGGACGTTAAGGGTAACGTAACTGAACGTGAATATTGTAATCCCTATATGGCACTGATAATCCTAGCTTCTTTAACTATTTCTCCTTGGGCAAAACTGGCGAAACTGTTATTAGGAAATGTATAAATTTCGCCCAGTAATTCGGTAAAGTTTGATCTTATATTTGGTTGATGAAAATTGCTTATTTCAAAAAAATCGGGGCCAACAAAAGTCTGATCAGAGATTCTGCTGATCCGTAGGTAATCTGTAACCTAAACGGGTAATTAAAATGTGTGTAAACCTAGAACCAAACGCGAATTTCTGTCTCCTATCCATTAGTGAACAATGAAGTTTCCTGTACGTCTGACAGATATGATAAACTAAAGCTCGACGAACTCCAATCAAAAAAAAGCAATGAATATGATTTAATGAATATTTATTTGGCTGACTATAGACGTGAACTTGAACTACAAATCACCCTTACAAATGTCCAGTTTTAATATGTAACTTTCATAAGGTATGTATTTTAGAACTTTAACATTACATTGTAATTGACGTTATAGCCAGAATATGACCTGACCATCGGTTGAAACTTGTCGCGTTTTATGTCTTTATATTAAATTAGTATGGGGAAGGTTTGGTGTTTCAATTACTGATTCTTCAATTTCACGTCAACCCTATTTTAAGTTCATCATATTATTGACGTTTTCTACGATATTACGTAGTCCAAAATGATAAAATAATTACAAATTGAGTACTAAATAATTGCCAATACCTTAGTAGAGGCTATTACATTTGTTCTGTAATTTCATTGGCAATTTTTGTGTACTCGAAGGAGGGAGCACGCAAAAGTCATTCACTAAGGTGTTTGTAGAATATATAGACAGATAAATTGTCAATTGTCTCGTTACATAACATTTTGGAGGTTCCACCAAGATTCAGTTAAACTTATAGCACGAAGTGGTAATAATTGATACATGATGCAGAAAGCTGAAAAAGCGAGAAAACCGTTGAGAGAAAAAGTTAATAAGTGGTTAGTGTTAATAGTGGTGTTGCTGGAAGCGGCGTTAGAGGAGAGTCAACCGGATTGGACCATGATTGACTCCAACAATCATTTGCTCCATGACGCGCATTCAAAATTAGAGTAACTTGATGATAAGATGTGTTGGTGAACCAGGATGATTCAGATGAAAGGATTCAAGAAGAATCAAATGAAGCTGACGTGTATCGAGAAAAGTTCAGCCTTATTTCTTGCAAAGTAGCAAGAGCTCGAGAAGACGATCGAGTTGAGAGAAGTTCAATCACAAGTACTTCTGTCGGAGGAACTAGTGGGAAGAAGAGGTATACGTTACCGTAATTCAATCTACTTAGTTTCAGTGGAGATTTGAAGGATTGGCTTTGTTACTGGGGGCAATTCAAAACTTTCCGTGAGGATAATGAAATCAGTACAATCCATAAATTCAATTATTTGAAGATGTCCATGGTGGTTGGAAGTGAACCAACAACAATTGTGGATAGTCACTTCAAAGTAGGAGAAGCTGGTTATAAATCTGCTGTTGAAGAATTAAAGGAAAGGTATGGTCGTGAGGATCTTCTTCTAAGATTATATAAGAGAGTTGCTGAAGTTGGTGATTTCAAATGTAACAAGGACAAGGAGGCGAAGATGTATATTGAGCTATAGTCTCATCTGAGATCTCTTCAGTCCCTAAATTTGGACAACGCAAATCCTACAACTTGGATCTATCCTTTAAGTAGAATCTAGTGTTCCCGATGAAACTTTGCGAGTTTGGCAAAGGTATTCGGAGAAGAAAATGGCTGAAGGTGTTGGCAATGTAAATTCAAACAAATTGGAAGCACTTATGGAGTTTTTAAAAACTGAAGCTCGTGCTGAACAGCAGATCTCTCTGGCAAGAAGGGGATTTGTCAACACCAAGGAAGGAAAGACATCTGCCCAAAGAAGTTATGGAAGGATCAGCACAAGAAGTAGTGAAGTTGCATGTCCAGCAACTGCAACCAGTCTGTTTAACGGTAGTAATGAACCGTGTACCAAAAGTAACCATGAACCTAAGAATTGTTTTAAAGCAAGTAAATTAAAGTACGAAGAAATGATGAAGCTATAATCATAGTGAAACGAGTCTACTTCAAATGCTTATGGAAGGGTCGTAAAGTTAAAGAATGTCAGGTTCCAGTGGAATGTTCGAATTGTAACGATAACCATTTATTGCTGTTATGTCCTAAGAAGAGAAAAACACTGAAGATATTGAAGTAACTCTAAATAGCGAATCGAATGTTGTTTGCAGCAATGAAGTCCTATTAAAGATAATAGTTGTGAAGGCACAATTTGGAACAAGAGGAAAATCAGTGTTAGCTCGAATTCTTTTTGATAATGGCTGTCAGAAAAGCTTCTACTACTAAGAGAACTATTCAAGCTATTACGAGTAAACCTATGGATGAAGAGGTCACCAGGATGTTCTATGTGATGGTACAGTTACAAATTATGAAAAAGTTCATTTGCATCGTATACTGATCAAAAGTACTTATGACACTTCAAAGGAAGTTGAACTGATCCTACGTGAGAAGTTGAAGCTGGGTGGTCAAGTACCAAAGGTTCCAGTTCATATTTTTGAGGAGTTAAATCAAAAAGGCATATCAGTACCTGATATCACGTTTTCGTTAGCTGAAATCGACATTGTGATTGGAAGTGATTAATGGGGAAAGCTGATCAATGGAAATTCTTAAGTTAGAAAATAACTTAATTGCCGTAGAGACATTATTTGGATGGATCATTTCTGGTGATACTCGTCGGTTCAGCGTTGCTCAGGATAATATACAGATGTATTTGGATATGGAAGAAGTAAGTAAGCTTTGGAATCTAGACTTAATTGGAATCCAAGAGAACAATCTCTCCGATTCAGAGCAGGAGGCCGAAGCGATCCGATTATTCAAAGAAACAGTAGTTCGTGAGGATGATGGGTGGTATCAAGTTGCACTTCCGTGGATAAATCCTGATGTTATTAAAAATAATTACTATAACGCAGTGAGGAGGCTGTACTCAACAACGAAAAGATTGGAAAAGGAAAAAAAGTTTGAAAATTATCATAACGTATTCCAGTCGTGACTGGAGGAAAGGATAATGGAAGACCAAAATTTAGATGGTCATTTTCCATGGAGCCTGTATGTAATTTATTAGCCGTGTCCAATTATTTTTGATAATGGTAATGGGCTACTCAAGATTGGTTTTAAGCTGCGTTTAGTTAATTAAGCAAACTCTGTTGCTACTATTTTGTATTTTAAAACTACAATAAGTACTCGATGAACTAATGGATGGTGCCAATGGATGCTTCCTTCCCGGGAAAACTCGTTAAAAGACGCAGCGTTTTGAAGGCCTTAGCATTATCGATAGTTAGGTACCTAATACACCACCTGAGCTAGTTAGGTAGTAATCTTCAACTTCAACACTTGTATCTTGTATCCTATTGGCTATTGCATCTATGGTGCTAAAATGAAACTCACATTGCAGTAAGGAATAGGGATGTCAAAACCCTGCAATGCACTTCCAATCTAAGTAAAAAGTATTTCATATTTATAACATTCTTGCTTGCTGGCATGCATTCATGGAATATAAGTGAGGTAACGTTGTATTTTGTATTCCTTTCAAATAGACCATGACAGTTGACACTTGACAGTTCTAATTTTTAGTTCGAAGTTTGAATATTTAGAACTAAATCAATCGTAATCTATTAATCTTTTATCAATTATATTCAAGTCGTAGAAAAAGTATAGTACATAATTCGAGTGCTAATGCCTATTACGCACTCGATTTTATTACAACACTCGCTCGCTACGCTCGCTCGTGTCGCAAAATACTCGTGCGAAATAGGCTTCTTAGCACACTTATTATGCAATATACTATTATAGTAATGTAATTTTATAGTATAAAATTGAAATCTTATAAAATAAACTTTTAAAAGGTTTTAAGGTCTCGTCATAGTTTGTCTGGCAATCTTTGTGATCAAATCAGTATTAGATAAGTTTAAGAACAAATTAACGTAGTCGCGATAGTGGTTTTTATCTCGTTACGTAACAATGTTTATTATTATTTAAAAATGTGTGCTGTTTACAGTAATAACAATCAAAAATTAATTCAATGGACCGTTAGGACCACGACCATAAGGAGACTGTCCATTTGTCCGCAATCCACACATTCTGGTCCCCAGTTCTGGTTTGCAGTACTCTCCCATATAACGTACCTTAAAAGACAATAGCAAGCAAAATTCTGCCGGAAAGCTATTTAAACGAATACTCTCCGCAAAAAGGAAACAGCTGCGTTGGTGACTGCAAGACACTAAAATCCACAGACGTTGCACAAAAAATCAAAACTGTTGCCTCTATATTTACCTGGTGTAAGTACAACAGATAGAGGGTCTAACAATATCTGGGTATAATTAATTTTCAAATCAACACAGTTTGGTTGCCAGATACCATTATTAGGATAGAAATCGGTATGACCAGAATTGAACGTGGTCCCATAACCCCCTGAGTCGGTGTGGATAACGTCAACAAAGTCTGCGTCAGTTTCATCCAATCTACATTCGTTTGCACCTGCACAAAGGTATCCAATACTCGCGGGATCCAGCCCCGTAATTCTTGCAACGGAGCGATTACAATTTTGTTTAATATAGGCGCCCGCCATTCCGGCAATTTGTGCTCCTAGGGAATGTCCGACGACGTGTATGTTTTTGGGACTTACCCCATAAGCATCTAGATTGCATAGGAATTTGCCAAAACCCATCGCAACCGCCGGTGCATTGCAGAACGCGTTGGCGTACGTCAAAATACCGTCGCCAGCAACGTACATACCGAAATCAAGAGTAATAATGGTACGATTTGATTGGTACCTCTCCAAGTAGGCGTCCCTGATAGCTTTTATATAATCTACATCTCTTGATCCGGCCCAACCGTGCAACAGGAAAATAATCGGCTTTACTTTATCAATTTCAGTAACCGAATTTATCTGTACTGCATTTGTGGGAGTGTGCCACCAATACTGTGTGAGGATACCATCATCGTCAGTGCAGTTTTGAGCTATACTCCATATTACTGGTCGTAACAGATCTAGGCATTCTCCACTAGTCCTACCACACATCTTGCTACATACTTAAAAAAAATAGTCAAGTCCGAACCCTAACAACAAAAAACCAAACCTGCCACTAATAACGTTGAAAAAATTAATATGTAGAGTGCTGCCATTTTACTTGTGCGCCTTAGAAAGCAAAAATTTCAACTGTCTAGTTGATATGTAATCGCGCAATTTATTATATTTCTAGAATTACGCAATTGTTTGCGATTTTTGTAATTTATTGTCACGCATACATGGGTATATTATTTAAAATGAACAGATAAGTAGGTACAAAGTAAACATATTATTGCTTTGGCGATGGTTTCTTTTAGGCAATGTTGATAGCCAACGTTTGCAGTTTTTTCAAAATTTACAGGCATTTTGTACTATCTTTATGCTTACGTGGGCCTTTTACAAGGCTAACATTTCAAATCCATCTTTAACTTTTTTCTCTTGGTGGGCTTAGTTCGATTTTTTTGCTTCATTTGACTAGTTAACGACCCATATTGGTAACAACCACAACGGATTTTTGATAAAAAATATCTTTTCTATTTCTTAAAAATGTAGAAATACACAGAACATACTTTATATAAAAATAAAGAAAAATCAAAATAAGCTTATTCAGATGTACATCTAAAATTGCTTGCCAGATTCAATTAACACTTTTCCTCAGATGATATAGTTTAGTCAGTGCCATATTTTTTGTTAGCTTCGACAGGAAAATAATCGGCTTCGCTGTATCTATTTGAGTAAAGGATTTTGTCAGTACTGCACTTGTGACATACTGTGTGAGAGTACCATCAATTTTGAGCTAAACGAAATAGTGCATCTCGTAACACATCTAGGCATCATACACTAGTCCTAAAGTTTTATAGCAGAAGCCTTATGGTTAATGAGCGATTTAGCCTACTCATTCAAATCTATTAAAATGTCAATTTAACATATGCTATAAAATAATTTTTTTATACCTGCACCTGAATCGCTGTTCACATCACGCTTGCGCGTGCAAAAAAGGCGAGTAGAGCACGCCGAGCTTTAAAGTAACGTTAATTCAAATATCACATATAAAAATCCTGCAAATGCAAAAAATGTCTTTGGCTGGTATCCTTGTTGAAAGCTTTACAAACTCACGTGCTTCAGAGTAGCCAAATTTGTTCCACTTTTCGATCGCAGTATTGATTGAAGTTTTTAATGAATGCACCAAAGGGTTGAAGATTTAAATACGTCTGACATTTCCTTCGCATATGCCACCATTAACTATGCATTTTAGTCTTTGTTTGAAAGATGCTCTCTATTCATCCAATCCAACAGCTTTTCACATTCTTTATAATAGGCTTTTGCACTTGGATTTTGCAGGTACGAACTTTTTCTGCTTCTGCAACAAGCCACTGAGTGGACGATGTACTATTTTCTTCAACCGAAGTCATGTTATTTACAAAGACGGTGATTTTTATAAGCAAACGTCAAGTGACGTTGGAATCACGACATATATACGCTGTCTGAAATTAAATAGAATAACGTAACTATCTCTGTTATTATTATACTTAGAAATGCGGTTAAATTGGCAAAGTTGTGTAGTTTTTGATGCTGATGGATATTCCGATGCGATACCATAATAAATCGTTTCGTAGATAATTGGAAAAAAGTGAAAATCGACATTTTTAAATATTTCAGTAAAAAAAGAGTTTTCGAAAAAAGTTTCAAATAAAAGTTTCAAGATTCGATGGGATAAATTCAATGGAGGTAGAAAATTTTTTTTCAAAATGGCGGTTTCTATTTATTTATTTATTATCCCTCTCTAGTTCTGGGCCTTCAACAGGCTTACGCCCAATTACAGAGTGGCCCCAATAATGCTTTTTAGAGGTGCCTCGGTAGAAGGTCTTAAATTGTTCTATGCTACTCCTGTATTTACCTTACGAATTATGAAAATTGCCGGAAAACCTAATTCGGAGTGGCCGGCAGAATACTCGAAGCTGATCTAAGGAAATTCCCATCTCTTTCGGATGCAAAATTCTTACCTCTTCCCAGGTTCGAACACCCGACCTCCCGGCTATGTGGCCGCTTTACCACTGGGACACAAATGGATTTTGGGGAGACTTTGGATAGACGCTTTTTGAGATATTGACATTAACTTTCTTATTTTAAATAGATGCTATATTGGATTTTTACGTCACTCGATAGAAAAAAAATTACAAAACCAGTGATACTAAACACTTAGTACTTCATTTGGGAACCAAGTTTGCATTTTTGCCTTGAGGTTTACAATGTATTTCTTATGGCAATAATTCTATGGTTGATTGTGATTGAAACCAAATTCATTCGTTTATTGTCTCGCATAGTAGAATTATAAACTTCAAGGCAAAAAGGCAAGATTGATTCCCAACTGAAATTCTAAGTGTTTAGTATCACTACTTTTGTAATTTTTCTCTCTAACAAGTGACGTAAAAATCCAATATGACGTCCATTTAAAATAAGGAAGCAACTTTGATTTGAAACTTTTTTCGATAGCTTTCGTTGTTACTAAAATATTTGAACAAAACTGGCGATTTTCACCTTTTTCCAATAATCTATGAAACGATTAATTTTTTTCAAAATATCCCATCGGAATACCCATTAGCGTAAAAAACTACCAAACTACCAATTTAACCGAATCTGTAAGTATAATAATAACAAAGATATACCCCTGTTATCCCACTCAATTTAAGACACGCTGTATAGGGCCATAACGAGGTGAAAAATTTGTCACTAAATTTGTATACAATCGGTGCAGAATTATGGTTCAAAAAATGATATGTAATACTTGATATTATGGCATTAATTTCTAACCCCAAACCCCAATATATTTATCCTAGACTCCTAGTGCTTAAAACTAATGATTCAAAACTAATCTTTTACGACATCACGTAGTCCAAAATAAGTAATTATACCACAAACATTTTGATTAATCTGTTTACTTGGGGCTGTGGCGTTAATTGCAAATCCAATGTACATTTGGCCCTAGCAAATACACGGTGGAGAAACAAAATATACAAAAAATGAGCACAAGATTTGCCGATTGCCTTACTAGGGGATGATGTAGTGAAATGTCCGGTCCCTACAGTCGAAACTATTGGTGATTTTAGTCAGTAAACAAATACTCATGTAGCGAAAGCGGTAGTCGGATGCCATATTCAATGAGACTTTATTTAAAATTCACGAGCTTTTACTAATGCAGGGAGCATACAAAAGTAATTCGCTATTGTGTTTATTATTTAAAATCTTAACTTGATTACAGAAAAACATTCAAAAATTAATTCAATGGACCGTTTGGACCAAGACCGTAAGGTGACTGTGCACTTGTACTAACTCTACACATTCTGGTCCCTAGTTCCGGCTTGCAGTACTCTCCCATATAAAGTACATTTGAAGCTAGTGGAAAACAAGATCGTGTCGGAAAGCTATTTGCAAGAATGCTCTCTGCAAAAAGGTAGCAACTGCGTTGGTGACTGCAAGACACTAAAATCCACAGACATTGCACAAAAAATCAAAACTGTTGCTTGTATATTTACCTGGTTTAAGTACAACAGAAAGAGGGTCTGAAGATACTTGGGTAAAATCAATATTCAAATCAAGGCAGTTTGGTTGTGCGATGCCATTATTAACATAGAAATCATCATCACCGGAGTTCAACGTGGTCCCATAACCCCCCGCGTTAGTGTGGATAACGTCAACAAAGTCTGCGTCGGTTTCATCCAATCTACATTCGTTTGGATTTATACAGAGGTATCCAATACTCGCAGGATCAAGCCCCGTAATCCTCGCCACGGAGAATTTGCAATTTTTTTGCACATAGGCGCCCGCCATTCCGGAAATTTGTGCTCCTAGGGAATGCCCGACCACGTGTATGTTCTTGGGGCTTACCCCATTTGCAACTAGACTGCATATGAAATTGCCAAAACCAATCGCAACCGCCGGCGCATTGCAGTATGCGTTAGCGTACGACAAAATACCTGAGCCAGTAACGTACATACCGAAATCAAGAGTAATAATTGTACGACTTGATTGGTACCTTTTCAGGTACGCGTCCCTTATAACTTGTATATAATCTACATCCTTTGATCCGCCCCAACCGTGCAACAGGAAAATAATCGGCTTTACTGTATCAATTTCAGTAACGGAATTTATCTGTACTGCACTTGTGGTACTGTGCCACCAATACTGTGTGAGGATACCATCATCATTGGTGCAGTTATTTTGAGCTAAAGCCAATAGTCCGTTTCGTACTCGATCTAGGCATTCTACACTAGTCCGACCACACATTTTGCTGCAAACTAACAAATAGTCAAGTCTGAACTTACAACAAAACGACAAACCTGCCACTAATAACGTGGAAAAAGATAATATGTAGAGTGTTGCCATTTTACTTGTATACGCCTTGGAAAGCAAAAATTTCAACTGTCTATTATGGAATCGCGCAATTTATTGCATTTCTAGAATTACGCAATTGTTTTTGATGTTTGTAATTTATTGCTAGGCATACATATTTGAAATGAACCGATAAGTAGGTACTTACAAAGTAAACATATTATTGCTTTGACGAACGTGTATACATTTTCTTTTAGGCGCAATGTTAATAGACAAAGTTTGCAGTTTTTTTTTTATTTACAGGCACTTAATTCCGGAAGTCTTAGTCTACAAAATGGTTCTATGCTATTATTGATTCCCTAAGGGTGTAGTGAACCCTTCTCCTTTCACATTTTTTAATAGAGAAAGGCGGTTACAATGCCGAAATTGAGTTATCTGCATCTGCATTTGAAAATTTTGAAAGCACCGTATCTGTTTATCTCATTACTGTAAATAAAATGAAGAATTGTATGTAATAATGCTAAAACTCTTCTTAGGTTCACTTCACCTCAGAAGCAGTTATAATGTTTGAACTCCACTCCTAAAATTCCAAATAGATACAGGGTGGCTATTAAAGATGGAACCAAAGCTCTCGCGCTCGAACGGTTTGAGATATGGACATGAAAATTAGAACACTTTCATTTGAAATTATTTCACATTATTTCGAGGTAAAAAATTTTTTTCTTGGTACGTGGTTTTTGAGTGACACCGCAATCTTAAATTTGTTAAATGGCAACATAGTTCGTGTGATAAGTCATCAGAAAGCTCATTTTTTTCTTTTTCCTGCTAGATTAATCATGAATAGTGTTAAATTAGAAAATGATGGAGAAAACTCGTCCGTAGAATGACACTGCTTGACTGGTATATTAAAGTACTCGGCCCAAACAGTGTTAAAAGGGCCAATAACTATTCCTTACTTACGTATGACACGCGGACGTTGATTAAAATTCATCGCTTAGACGCAAATAGGACGCTTTCCAATGTGAATGGAAAAATCGGCTGAAATATCAATATCATATATCAATATCAATACACAAATATGGAACGACAGACGGTTACCACAAAAATACGTAGCATAATACGTAATATTTGAAAAAATAAAAAAATACATAAAATGAACGATGTATGAACTTGCTAATGAATTAAAAAGGTACTATAAGTCACAATTTGAAATAAGAAATGTAGTGCCCACACTACGTTCACTTTATGTAAAGAAATAGATGAATAAACGAACGCAATCTTCTATGCAGACTCTATATTGAGAAATACATTAACGTATTCAGTGACCTTTCTTAATTGATGTTTCTTCTTAGGATCAACTTGCAGACGCAAATAGAAATCCTGATGGGAATCTCTTTCAAATCTTTGAATATGTTTGAAATCGGCTAGAACCTTTTTCTTAGAACCTGTAACCATTTAAATTCTCTTAAAGTCGAATCTTCCAAAACTCTCGTAGAATCTTCTAGTATTTCGTTAAATCTTCCTATGACCTTAGGATCGTCTTAGAATCTCCTCTGAATTTTCTTAGAATTTTTTTCAGAATCTTTTTTGGATTATTTTTGGATAGAATCTGCACAAATTCTAGCATTTTCAGAGCAGGTTATAGAATATTATTAGGCATATTCTAAGAGTCAAAATAGAATCTTTTAAAAGGTCTCTTAGGATCATCTTAGATTTTTCCCTGTAATGTTATAGGATCTTAGGGTTATTTTGGAATATCCTTGGAATTTTCTTAAAAAGTGTTCAGAATGTATTAATGAATCTCTACAAAATTGTTAGAACTTCTAAAATTTACAGATCTGTTTAGAATCTTGTATTAATTGCCTTAGAACATGTTCTTAATTTTTTTTTCATCTCCAAAAACTAATGAAGTCCTTTTCGCTTACCGCCCGAACGAGGATACGTCATCTTGGAATAGCAACCTTGAAGGAAATAGAAAGGGTCTGACGGTATAGCTTTTAATTTGAATTTGAATTTTTCAAATTTTTGCAGAAATAAGTAAAGTAGAAATTTTCAAGTTACAAAAAATATCATGGCTCTAAATTATGTTCCAGACAAATATTAATCTTGGTTGATGTAAAGGAACGGATTGGCTGATTGCAGTTAAAACAACCGGACATTATTTATTTTTGCGTAGTTTGTCTTCATTACTTCAGAATGTTACGGCGACACGATAGCGAGAGTTTATCTCAGGTTAATATTGTTTTATTATTCACAACGGCAGCAAGATTGCACTTTCTGACCAAAGGAAAGCTTAATTCGCGTTTTTGCAATCAAGGTGACCAGTCGTGGTCTCTATAATAAAATATTCCCGTTTTGGGGAGACCAAAGATTATTCACGTTGTCATAGCAGCGACCAGGTAAGGTCCATTTGAAAAAGTTAAACTGTTTTGATCGGGATGTTGCAACAAACGTATTACTGTCCTTTTTGATGGAAGCGCACAAAATATAAGGATTCAGACATTGCGATAAATAGTTCTTCTTTCTCTTAAAATGTATCAAAAATTATTAAGAAGCTATCATAACACGGAGATACTAATAGAATTCACGGAAGAAATTATATTTCCGGTAGCGAGGTTGAATTAAAAGCTTAACCGTATAAGGTCTTTTCCGGTAAAAGGTAACGCGTCAAAAAGTTGCAAAAAGTGACCAAAGTTCCTCGCAGTAACACTAAAGAAAACCCCAACGATTCGTTATCCTCCAAATTTCACCAGAGGCTCCAATCTCAAGGGGATTTTAATTTTTTTCCGCACAAGTGCCCTCGGGAACAAAAATCTGGTACAATAAGGCGGATGGATGTTCAATTCCTTTGAATCAGCTACAGCAGCCTTTGAAAGTCTGGTTTTATGTACTTGTACTGCCATTATTCAGTCTAAAAAAGTAGTTGCCATTATTTCTCCTGCATAAGGCGTGACTTTAAACTTCTTTTTGGAGGACTGGAGCCCCAAAAATTGCATCAAAAATCAAAACCGACTATGTGTCTCAGTGGTAGAGCGTTGGGGTACATAATCGGAAAGTTGGGTGTTCGAACCTGGCTTAAGATAAGACTTTTTCATGTGTGCAAGAGGTGGGAATTTTCTTAAATCAGCTTCGAGCATTTGGCCGGCTACTCCGAATTGGGTTTTCTTGCAGTTTTCCTAATTCGTAAGGTAAATACCGGAGTAGTATAGAACTACTTAAGACCTTCTGCAGGGGCACCTCTAGAAAGCATTATGCGGGCCACTCTGGAATTGGGCACAAGCCTGTGGAGGGCCCGGAACAAGAGAGGAACAATAAATAAATAAATAAAGCTGCCCCGCCCGGGAAAATAAAGACGACCCCTCGTACTTGTATGTTTGTAGGATTGTGTCTCATATTTTGTCGCATTTCTATTGAATCTTAATCATTCTATAAAGTAGTCTCGTAAGTTTGGTGAGAATAAACATTTGTTAAGCACATTTTCCAGACTTATTTGGAGGTGATTCAGTTAGTCGTTAAAGTAAGAAGATTAATGAAAATATTATTCTTGTTACAACTCGTTGTTCATGAATACCATGCATATTACTTTGATAGCCTTTTGTGATTTCATTTTCACTTCCATTATATAATAGGAAAGTTAATAAACAGAAAATTTTACTCATTGAAAAGAATTTGTTTATGTATAAATGCTAGGAAGCTTCCCGAATATTAGAGGAATCTCTATAGAACATCCATTCTGAATGTATAAATGCATGAAATATGATATTGCACATATTTGCATATTACAGGAATATTGATGGTACGTATATTCACTTGTCAGTATACCAATATATATACATAGCATGTCTGGTGCATATACATGAATATACGTAAGACATCCAAAACGTATATACTAGGTTTTATGTGAAGTCTGCCAAACGTATATTCCTTGCACATACATCGGACATTTGCGACATACTTTTCCACATTCTATGGATATACAAAATCCTACGTAGAATGTGAATGTTATATGCAATGTATACAGTTCTGGTATGAGCGGCACAAACCTTCGTACTTGCTCTTGCCATTAGTACTTCATTCTAAGATACAATAAGCTTGTACTTGCTAATTTATTCAATAGCAATGTGAACTTTTCTAGCGAAGAGCCAATACCACACGAGTCAAATACGGTTTTTATCCAAAACGGCCTACATAGTGGATATTCTTTATTGGACAGTTTCGTACAAAATCCTAAAGGAAGTCGATAAGGGACAGCAGTCTTAATTGTTTACTGTAGACTTCGGTTTCTTCCTCGGTTTCTTCTCCAGCGCCTATACTTTTTGGAAAAAATACTTGAGAAACATGATAAGGGAGCAGTTAGTCATCATCATATTCTCCACTACATCTATGATAGGTCTGTTAAAGTGCCAATAGAGAAATAGGCAAGATTAGTGAAAGGGAAGAGTATCAGTCAAACTTATATTTGAATTTATGTTTTCGCATATTATGTTCAGTTGTTTCTTCTGTGGTGTCTGTAACTTATTGATATTTGAACTATTGCATGTAAAATATACGTGTCGTCTCCATGCAAAGGGTTGTTTATAACCTTACACGCAAACCTCGCAAAGTCCATACAACTTCGTACTTTATTGCAAACATTTGCAGGATTATTAACTTGTTTCTGGGGAAGTTTGTACACTATTTTGAAATGTATAAAGCAAGAGAACTGCAATTTCTATGAAAACCACGCGCGATTCGAAAACTAGTCCACAATGAAATAAAATTAACCCAAACACGTAAACTATAACTTGGTGTAATTTTTTATGAGAACATGCAAAACGTGACCTATGATATCGAGGTTTCGGAAACTACGAATTTGCATCTCAAACTTTCGAAGTTTAAACGGCTGAATTCGAAATACATAATCTTTTATGCAACAACGCACGTATGCAGAATATTGGAAAATCGAGAAACCGCGGTATAAAGTGCAGCCAGCCTCTATAAACTGAGTTTATTAAATTGTCTTGTTCTTCCTTTAAAAGAACTAAAAATGCAAACAAATTGCTTGATTGTTATTAATCGACCACCCTATTCTGAGATCACCCCTTTCCATTCAATTATTGCGAGTCGATTGCGCGATTAATTAAAACAACTTAAAAACGAAATTAAATCGAACGAACTTCTGAGTAGATGCGAATATTCGCTCGATGCCAATTTTA